ATGCCTCCCACGTATTGATTTATGACTTACCTGTAACCCCTGTCTCCCTGAAATGTATAAAACCAAAATGTAACCCAGCCTCAGCGAGTCCACTTGCTCAAGGCTTCTTGGGGGTGGCTCCAGGTCATGGTCCTCAAATTTGGCTCAGAATAAATCTCTTTAAAATTATTTTACAGAGTTTGGCTTCTTTTCCATTGACAGTGGCTATGCTGGGTTGTATTCCCACCAACAGTATATGAGAGTTCCAGTTGCTCTATATCCTCATTAGCACTTGGTATTATTGGCAGATGTTTCGATTTTAGACATTCTGGAACAGGTGTGTACTGACATCTCATTGTGGTTTTAATTTGTTTTTCCTTGGTGATTGATGATGTTTAATACCTGTTAGGTTTCTTACAGGTGGGAACCCAAAAAGTATGTATAGGACAGAATGTGGTTAATGCAAAACTTAGGCTTGTAAAACAATAGCCACAGGAGTCTGGGGAGTCCCTGGACTTTGTAGATCTAACAGACAGCTGCAGCCAGCATTCCTTCCCCCTCCCTCCCTGATAGAGACGAAGGCTATCCAGAAGGATGGATGTGACTGGGGCAAAGGGGTCATGGGAGTTGGTTGTTTAAAGAAGAATCTACTACAAACAGCTGTTCTGCCCATGGTCCTCTGCCATACGCGAACTGCACGTAGCAGGAAGCAATTCTTCACCTGCCAGTTTGGCCCAGAAACAAAGAACTGAACAGGCCAAGTGGGATGGGGTTGGCTATCCCCGTTTATAAAAACCCTCACTAAACCCCCTTCTGTGCTGACTCTCTTTTCGGACTCAGCTCACTGGCACCCGGGCGAATAAACCAGCCATGTTGCTCCCACCATAGCCTGTGTGTGAAATCTGTCCTTCGGGTCATTCACCCTTTCAATATCTTTATATATGCTTCGGTGCCAACAATATAGTTTCTCTTGTTATACTTATTCCTACATGTTTGATAGATATATATTTTTACATTCTATATTTTTGCTAATATCTAAAATAGATTAATTTTCATATATTAATCTGGTATCCCAAGACTTCACTAAATTCCCTTATTAGTTGGAGTGGTTGTTTTGTTGATTTCTATGATTTCCATGTAAACCATCATGTCATCTGAAAATAGTGAAAATTTTAGTCCGTTTCCAATTGTTGTACTTTTATTTTGTTCTTGCTTTATGTTAATGGTTATGAGCTGCAGTCAAATACTGAATAGAAGAGGGGATAGTGGGCACCCTCGTCTTGTTCCTGATATTAGGTGAAAAAGTATTCAATATTTTACCATTAAGTCTGATATTAGCTGCAGATTTTTCATAGATGCCCTTTACCTTATTGAAGAAGTCCCTTCTAATCTTAATTTTCTGGCAGTTTTTATAATAAATGGCTGTTGAATTTTAAGTGTTCTTTCTGTGTCTATTGGGGTGATCAAATAGCTTCACTTTTAGTCTGTTAATATGGTGAATTATATTGGTTTTTGAACATTAAATCTACCTTGCATTCCTTGCATTTGGGATAAACGCAAGTTGATTATGATATATTATTTTTCTATATATGGTTGGATTCAATCTGCTAATATTGTATCAAACTATTTTGTTTCTACGTTCATGTGGGATATGAATCTGTAAATTTTTTGGCAATATTTATTTTAAGGATTATTAGGATTATGCTGGCCTCCAAAGGAGAGGAAAAGTGATTCCTCCTCTATTTTCTAAACAAGTTTTGTATAAGACTGGCATTATTTCTTTCTTACAAGTCTGATAAATTTGATTATTGAAACCATCTGGGCCTGGAATTATCTTTCTGAGAAGTTTGTTGAGCAAAATTCAATTTTTTAAAAAATAAAGGACTAATCAGATTTTAAATTTTATCCTATTTCAGTTCTGATAATT